TCGAGCTAAGTGGAATTAAGTGCCTTTTAATGAAGAATCCAAAATTCACTCCAAACTGTTCGTAGTTGGACTTAATTTTATTCCTGCTCACTTTGTACTAAGAATAACTGTATTGGAAAGACAGTGACGCCACAGCTGGAGGTTTGGCTCTTGGCTTTGGTGGCTCGTGTGTTTTCCTTTACTTTCACAGACCCTCGTGGGCCCCACGCGCCATGCCCTTGAGAAGGTGGCATGAACACTCAGGGTGTGGTGACACGTGGTCTCCCCTGAGACTCAAGCTGCTTTCGCTGCTTAGCTAGTGGCATGCGGGGGTGACCAGGCAGTAGTTCCCACCCTCGTGAGCATACCTGCGGGACGCCTCCTGAGTGGCATTCTCTAGGCCTGTGGTTTGTGCAGCTCTGTCTCTGCCTCACTGGGGTCACGGCTGTTTGGGAAGAACCATCGTGTGTGTGCATACGGCCTGGCTCTGCTGTCTGTGTGTAGCTGTCCTGAAGAGACTTGGTCCTTTTGTATCTTGGTCTTCTTACCACCAAGACTTGTCAGGAGGAAATGGGCTTGGCTTTTGTCTTTTAAATTCTTCTGCACAGAGTTTCCATGGTGCCTCTTCGTATACAGCGACAGTTTGGTAATTCAGCCTTGTCCTGTCACACCCTGCGATTTGGTGGCTGAGGTGTCTGTAAGCGTTAGACATGTTGCTGGCGGCACCTGTGCAGGTGGCTGTGCTGATTGGCCATTTCGGACCCTGTACAGGCCGCGTAGCTCCCTACAGCCTCCCGTGGTCGCCAAGACCCAGTTGCACACACTTGGCTGAAGAGCAGTAGAAAATATAAGTGGAAGTTTGTTGTCACCTCGGGTAACCCTCAGGGCTCACCTCCACCTTGGAGGTCAGAGGTCAGTGGAACAAGTCCGCTCTGTAGCCTGCTCTGTGCCGCTGGTGCACTGTGGGGCCAGGAACGTTGCCGAGCCAGAAATGGGTGCCCCCGCCTGCCATGCTGCTCCCCTTCACTGAGCTGCTCCTCGCCGTGGATTAACTACAGGTTCCTTGAGCACATGTGTTTTTGAAAGAATCATACATGCAGTCTCATCTCCACCTTCTTTGCGTTACTTCCAACGCCAGGGTCAGTGTCGTCTTCCCTTCTCCCCTGCAGGTTTTGCACAAGGACATCCATACGTTTTGCTCCTGAAATCATTAAGGATTGACCTTGAAATGGTTGGGAAGTATCCCAAGTTCAGCATAGCAGATCAGTGAAAATGCAGGGGCAGGGAGTGAAGAGACCTACACAGACCTAAGGTGCTTGTGGTATTATTTGTGTAGAAGACTGTCACAGCTCTGAAATTTAAAAATAATAAGAGGAAGCATTAATTAATATGAAGACTGTCAGCCTTAACCGTGATAGCCTCTTTATGTTCCGCGTTCTCTTAGGTCAGCAGTTTCAACAGTGTTGGACTTTAGGGCGATGTCATGGGACTTCTCCTGGCGGGCGTCCTTTCTACACCCCTTTCTAGTTAGAGCACTATCCTCGGGCCGCTTCAGCACGCCACACCCAAGTTTTGCCTCGTGTTGTGCTGTTTAGTTGATGCTTGCTGTTGGGATCAAGACTAGAGCAAGTGTCAGAGTTACTGCTCTGTGTACAACCTAAAGTAAGCCACTGTTACTCACCAGAAGGCTTCACCATTCATGTTTTTATACTGCCCCAAGAGGTCATTGTAAGATTTGGGTCACATCGTAGGGTCACGATTGACCAAGTAAGAGTCGGGCCGCCCTGAACACCAAGCATGGACGTGTAATGCACCAACAGTGTCGGTCCCGGTTAGTTCTCATGTTTGGTCCACATCGCATGGGTAACCGAAGGAGTAGAGTCACATATAGCTTATGTTCTGTCGTACCCTTTTTCTTCTGTCAAGATTAGCAGTGCTAACTTATAAAGACTTTATTTTTAATCTCACAAATAACTCACTTATATTGTTAAACTGTCAGAATACATAAAGGCCTGAAGCACATTCTTCCCCCGCCTGCACTGGTTTCCATGCCCCGGTGGTGCGGTCCTGTTAGCACAGCAGGAAGCAGACTTTTTCAATACGCTGACCAGTAAGAGGCTAAATTAAGTTGCATTCAAAATGCATATGGAAGTATTTGAAAGGGACAAGGGATGCAAGGTTTTTATTGTTGTGCTCAATTTGATTGTTATAATACAGATTTTTTAAAACAGTGGAATTGTAAAAATAGCCAAATGAGGTTTTAGAAAGTAGAAAGAGCTCATGAAATTATAATCACAAACTTTTTTATAAACTATAAACAAAAATAATGCAGTAACATCTTCACTCTCTGGAACCTGGAAGAAATGACATGTAATTACAGAGGTTTTCTTGCCGTTTAGAAGAATCTTAGGAATTTTATGGGAGAAAAAGGGATTTTAGTCTGCTCTTCCTTCTTAATTATAATGGATTTGTTTTAGTGTTTTGGTGACAGCCAAGTCTTTCTTCTGAATGTTGGTTACTGTCCTGTGTTTTAAAGTGGCCGATGCTTTCAGAGCCTTTTGGTGCATATAAGACTTTGAGGCCATCTGGAATGGCCCCAGCATTGCCTTGTGTCCCTGTGCCACAGTGTTAGAGTATATTGTGCAGTCACATCTGTGCTGTGCCCCTTAGCGGCGTGGCGGCTGCGGGCAAGACATCTGGGTGCTCAGTGTGTGCTCCTCTCCATGTGGGACAGCGGTGCCTGCCTGGCACTGGCCTGATACAGTTCATGGGGTGTGCGGAGAGCGCTCGCAGGCTTCTTAGAAGCCACGCTGAGAGTGTCAGGGTAGCCCTTAGGGGTAAATATGGGCTAGTTCTCTGCAGTGCCAAGAACGTGAGTAAGCCGGAAGGTTCCAAATATACAAGCTGTGACCACAGAATGAGCTCCTAAGGTAACCCTGCAAACCGGAGGGTGAACAAAGGCATAGGAGTGAATGAGGATTGAAGTCAGGCAAGGAGGCCACTCAGAAAATGACAGCTTTTCATTGAAAACGGCTGGATGTTTCAATGTTAAGAGACCCACACATTATAATGACGTCACTCATTTAAAATGGTTGCACAGTCCCCGAGTAATTACAGTGTTTATGTATCACATTTGGTTCCCATGGTCTCCTAAGTATCCTGTAGGCCGTAATGCCCTCACCCTGCTGCACGTAGTACAGGAACTAGAGGAGCCACAGGTCGATTCAGGTTTGGGCATTGGGGGGCAGAGAGGTGGAAAACTTCATCACCTGGCACCTGCCCTCCAAAAGCATCTCGCTGGGGAAGAAATGCCAGGCAAGGCAGCTCCCTGGTTAAAGCAACAGGACGTGCTGAGCGGCGGCTCAGAGCAATACATCTGCTCTGACTCGGAAGACAGGAGAGGCCTATAAAAGGACCCTGAGCAGGAGGTGGATGGTCGGGTGGGCGAGAGGAGCAGGAGGACTCGATGGGAAGGGACGGTGAGCTGAGCAGACAGAAGCCCTGGGCGTGCGCCCGGGGCAGGCTGGCGTAGGGCAGGTCTCAGGACCCCTTCACGCTCAGAAAAATTGTGTCGGACTCCAAAGAGCTTTTGTGATGTGGGTTTAGCTACCATTATTGACCACATTCGAAATTAAACCACAAAAAAAAGTTGAAGCATTACTCATTAATTCATTACTAAAATGGCAAACCTATTGCATGTTAACAGAAGTAGATCTTGTTATGAAAATAGCTGTGTTTTCTAAAACAAAAACAAATTTAGTGGGAGGGAAGTGTTTTCTATTTTTGCAAACCTTTAATGTCTGGCTTCGTGGGAGATGGCTGGATTCTGCGGGTGCCTCTGAGCTCCGTCTGCCAAGGGCCCTGTTTTGGTTGAAGGCTCGGAAGATGTGGTTGGGAAGAGTAGTTTAATAGTTCAGGTCGTCCTGGACATTTTCTTTGATATCACATTGAAACTTAACAATGGGTAGTTTCTTGAAGGAACCTGCAATGTGGAATCTGAAACCATATCAATAAGCTGTCTGTATATTTATTACATTAAAGTCCAGAGGACTATCTTGCACTTTGAATGGCTCTTTTGTCCTTGAACGGTATTGAAACACCATTTATTGATCCCTTGGAAAATACTGGTCACTGAGTTACACAAGTCTTCTAAGACAGTTTTCAGTATCTGTATCAATAAATCCCATTGTTAGCATCACCCTGACCTCATCCTCGCCCCGGGGAAGCTGTTAAGCTCACCCTGGCAGATAGAAGTTTTCCAGCGTCCCGGAATTCTGGAAAGTCTTACAGAGCTCCATTAATCTTGTATCATCGTGAAGGTTACATGAAAACAATGTGTAAATATGTGTACAGCTGTTAAGATGGTACTTGGTCCAGGTAAGCACTCAAATAGTAGCGATTGTTGTCGTTTGCACTTTTCTGTGTTGCCATCATCGTATGTGTTGACCGGAGCCCAGAAAGAGGAATGGAAGGTGCTTTTTGGAGCACCAGGGTAGCGACTCCTGCTGAGTGTGTGAAACAGCTCATTTGGGCAAGCTTCAGACTTCCCCTGTACGGTCACAGCAGCAGCAGACCTGAGGGAACGTCCTTCGTGTGGCCTTTTCTTGCCTTGCCTGCCCCTAAGATCTCAGTTGTCACATTGGTGTGAGTGTCCACACCCCTCACCTGTCTTCATTTCCCTTTTGTTCATAGCTCACGGTGCCGGCATGTGGTACCTGGTGCTCAGATGATATTTGAATGGCTACGTTTAGAGAGAATTGGTTTTGAACAGCACTCAGCGTGGTTTTAGACTCAAGAAGTATAGAAACTTGATCATATGAAGCACATGACCTGAGCAGTGACTGCTGGTTTTTTCTTTTCATTTATTTAAGGAATGTTTAACCTCTCTTCACCCCGTCCCGTCTCTTTTTTCTTGAATATGTATCAATTCAAACTAAAAATAGTAGAAGGCTCAAAGTGTTTTGCAATAATTTGGGGTTAAGTACTTTTGTGATCAATATACTTTCCTTCCTGCTTTTCAGATGTTCCTCCTGCTGATCAAGAGAAGCTTTTTATCCAGAAGTTACGTCAGTGTTGTGTCCTCTTTGACTTTGTTTCCGATCCACTAAGTGACCTAAAGTGGAAGGAAGTAAAACGAGCTGCTTTAAGTGAGATGGTGGAATACATCACCCACAATCGGAATGTGATCACAGAGCCTATCTACCCGGAAGTGGTCCATATGGTAAGTGAGAGAGCTCGGCCAGCGTGTCCCACCCTGAGTGTGACAGCGCTTCCCGCAGAAAATCCTCCTGCTCCAGGGCTTGTACCTGCACCCTGAAGAATGAAAATCTCTGTAACGTGCCCTGGATTATAGTGATAATAGTGAGGGACATCCGGTGCCTTCTAGGGACCTGTTGAAGAGTTAATTCACTTACTCCTCACAGTTACCAAATGGGGTAGAAATGTTAGGACTTTCGTTTGTGCTTAGTATCTTGTCCTCTTTAAATGTTTGTTCTTAACATATATGACCTTAATATAATAAAGCCCATACATGTTATAGAAGTAAACATGTTCTCCACACATGTACAGGAAAATTCTGGTGGTGGGGCCCAGTGCGGATAGTGACGGGACCCAGCTGGTGTCAGGACAGTCTGTCCTGACGGGCTGCGCGGCCTCCATCTGTCATTGCCAGTCCAGACACACCCAGCTCTGTCCTGCAGGCAGCAGCTCAAGGCTGCTTCCACGCAGCCCCAAGTCTCAGTCCTCCGCTGTCTCCTACTTTACCTGTTTCAGGTCCTCTGCAGGGTCTCACTGTGACCTAGTGGCTACCACCTGGAAACATCACATGCAATGCCTGAAGTTACTAAAACTTACTGTTTGGCACTGAACTCAGTTTTCTGTTGTTTTTTTGAATTGTTGATATTTTATCTGCCTTTGAAATTAGTACTCCGCAGTTGCTAGGGAGTCCTTGTTGCTGAATATAATATTTTAAATTCTTATTTTCATTGAACTCCTTACGTTCAATGATTTATCTTCCCCCCTCAAAGCTATGTATTTCAGAATTGACTAGACTTGTTGACCTAAAATATGTTTATTTCTCACTTTAGTATGTTTGCTTTGGAAAAGAAGATGGAAGTAATGTACTTTTTGTAATTCACAATCTGTTGTGTTAGGAGTTGAGATCAACTTGGTTATTTTCATGTATTATTATTAACTCTTAACATTCCAAATTTACCAGCATATAGTCAGATGAGGGCTGCGAAGGCCGCTTAGGTTCCTTCCCCAAGCTCACGCCTGAAGAGTAGTCACAGGTGCATATGCTGAACGGTAAATATGCTAAAACCTTACCCCTTAGATTAAGGAAAATTGCAGAATATTTTTTTCCTCCTCTTTTTTGTTTTTGTTTTTTTTAAATATGTTTTCATTGATTTCAGAGAGAGGAAGGGAGAGGGGGAGAGAGAGAGAGAGAGAGAGAGAGATCAATGATGAGAGTCATTGATCGGCTGCCTCCTGCACGCCCCCTGCTGGGCATCGAGCCCGAAACCCAGGCATGTGCCCTGATTGGGAATCAAACTGTGATGTCCTAGTTCATAGGTTGATGCTCAACCACTGAGCCACACCGGCCCAGCTGGGTCTCACTTTTTTAGTCAATCAGACAATCTCTGCCTTCTGATTGGGGTGTTCAAGACATTTACTTTCCATGTGAGTGTTGATGTGTTGAGTTGAAATCTACTGTTTTGCTATATTTTTTTCTATTTATCCCATCTGTTTTCTGTTCCCTTTTTCTCCTGTTCTGCTTTCTTTGGGGTCAGCTGAGTATTTCTTATGATTACATTTTATCTCCTTTATTGGCTTTTTAACTATAACTGTTACTCTTTGGTCTCAGTTACTTATTTAACTTTTCTAGAATATATCTTTAATTTATCACAGTCTTCCCTCAAACAGTAACATACCGTTTCAACAGCACAATTTTATTTCATCTCTCCCAGTCTTTTTGCTATTGTCAGCATACATTTTACTTCTTCATATGTTATGAACCCCATAATATATTATTTTTTATTTTTAAATAATTATTTTTTAAAGGGATTTAAGTAATTTTTTTTTTTAAGTAATTTTTAAATCATTTTGTACTTCTTATTTACCTTTTTCAGTGTTCTTTTTCTTTTTAAGTATGTTTTTGTTGATTTTAGAAAGAGAGGAAGGAAGAGGGAGAGAGAGAGAAATATCAATGAGAGAGAAACATCAATTGGCTGCCTCCTGCACGCCCCCAACCAGGGATCAAACCCACAACCTGAGCATGTGCTCTGACCAGAAGTCAAATTGGTGACCTCTCAGAGCACAGGGTGACACTCAAACCAACTGAGCCACACTGGCCAAGGCCATTCTCAGTGTTCTTCACACCATTGTTTACACCCAGAAACCCACCTGATACCAATTTCTTTCTGCCTGAAGGACTTTCTTGAATATTTCTCATAGCACAGGTCTACTGTTGATTAAACTTTCCAATTTTGTATGTTCAAAAAGTCTTTCTTTTGCTTTTAATTTTGAAAGATGTGCTTGCGGGGTAGAGAACTCCAGGTCTGAGTCTTATCCTTTCACGGTTTTACTCCACTGTCGTCTTATTCTCATTGTTCCTGTGATAAATCTGCTGCCAGTCCTGTCTTTGTTCCTCTGCACAAAATTTATCTTTATTCCCCACTGGCTACTTTTGTAACTTTTAGTGATTTTTAAACAATTTGATTATAATGTGTGTTGGTGTGGTTTCCTTCTTTGTCTTGTATTTGGAGTTTTTTTATAGTTCTCATCAAATTTGGAAAAGTATTTGGTTCTTATTTCTTTAAATATTTTTTCTGTCCCCTCCCCTGTCCAGCAGGGACTCCAGTCCAGCATTAGGTTTCTTCCATTTGTCCCACAGCTCACTGGTGCTCTTTTCCTTTCCAGCCTTTTTTCTTTCTTTGTTTCACTTGGTAGTTCTCTTTGCCATCTTCAAGTTCACTAATCTTTCTGCAGTGTCTTATCTGGTGTTAATTCCCACCCAGTAAATTTTTTTCCTCTCACACACTGCAGTCTAAGCCTCCAGTAGTTTATTGGTGTCTTTTTTATATCTTCGTAGTAGCATACTGTTTTAATGCCCTCGTCTGCTTAGTCACATGTCAGCTCCAGGTCAGTTCAGTTGATTGGTTTTTCTCTTGTTATAAATGATATTTTCCTGCTGCTTTGCATGTCTGGTAATTTTTTATTGGATATCTGATATAGTTAAGTTACTTGCAAATGTAATAAAAGGTTTTATCCTTTTAGGTCTTGCTTTTAAGATGTGTTAGGAAGAACCAGAGCCACAGAACTTCTATGGCAAATTATCCCCATGATTGATCAGGCACTGTTCCCACCCCGGGCAAGGACAGGTCTCTCCGATCTTTTCAGGTGGTTCTTTTCACAGTCTCTGGTGGTTTCCTTGCACAAATACAGTGATCAGTCCTCTGCTGTGGAGCTGAGGGGACCTCCGCAATCTCATGTTCTCTCTGCAGCTCTCTTCTCCTGGGCCTTTGTCTTGCAGATTCTAACCACCGATGTCTGTGGGCTCCCTCTCGGTTCTTCCTCCCTGTACTACAACCTGGAAGTTCTACCCAGGCGAGAATCTGGGCATTTGTAGGCTCTCCGCACTGTTTCCCAGCTCTCAGGGTCCTGTCCTTTTTTTTTTTTTTTTT